ATGGACGGATGCTTCGCCTTACTCTCTATCATTCGCTCCGCGGACATGCTGCCATTTTTGTACGCGTTTCTAGGCAAAGTTAGCGGAAACGTTCACCCAGGAAAAGCCTACAAAAGCTGTGCCTTGAAAGGACGTGACCTCAACCAACTGAATTGAGAACGTCGATAGCTGCGGCAACCACCGATTACAATCGCGGCGTAAGAAAGAGGAATCCTCCTAGTAGATTCCTTCAAGGCACCCTCGAAGGGGCAAATAATTGCGCTAGCCGTGTAAGAGGTTAGGCTTGTTAGTTACAGCCTTGTAATATAGGCAGTAAAACAGCAGTAAGAAGAAAAATAAATTTTGCATATTGGTAAAAAGCAAGTTCACTGTCCCGAAAACACCACTCTTAACGCGAGATGATGCTTGGTAAGTAAGAAAACACGCGATAAGAAAAGATTGTCGCACCAAAGTTCGAGACGTTATACATTTGGCGGTGTCTACTGATGTGAGAGTGAATAGCGGGGAGGGTATTTGGCAAAGAATGATTCTAAATAGAATGCTCAAAGAAGACGGCGGACGAAAAGGGTGGTGTGGCCATGAGGGTCATCATGCAATGCATTGCAGAGATGACAAGCATACGTGTATCGAATATTCGCACATGCTCCGTGATAGCCAAGAATCTAGAGAAGTGTAAAAGATCAATAATCGAGAAAAAAAAAGATTATTCAAGCCGATGATCGCTGCGTATCTCCGTATATTTCTCTCAATGTGACTGCGTAGCACTGAAAACGTGGCAACACTGTCTCCCCTGTGTGTGTGCGTCTCCTTTTCCGTGCTTCGTCTTCCTTGCGCCTTCAATTTCCAGTCGTGTATTCTGAGTTGTAGGTAATTTCTAATCGGTAAGAATGTATATTTTCATCTGTAGGTGCCATAGGCCAAACGTACGAAGTTTAAAAAAAAAGTTATCGAGCCCACGTTGCGGAGATAAAAGAAATACATTTTGAAATTTGAGCCATTATGGGTCAATGTGCGTCATTCACGAATATTTCGCCACGAAATTTAAAAATGAAACATCCTTGATTTTCTACGCTACTAATGAACTTATGGGGGTGGCCCCGCCACGGTGGTCTAGTGGCTAAGGTACTCGGCTGCTGACCCGCAGGTCGCGGGTTCAAATCCCGGCTGCGGCGGCTGCATTTCCGATGGAGGCGGAAATGGCGTAGGCCCGTGTGCTCAGATTTGGGTGCACGTTAAAGAACCCCAGGTGGTCAAAATTTCCGGAGTCCTCCACTACGGCGTCTCTCATAATCATATGGTGGTTTTGGGACGTTAAACCCCACAAATCAATCAAATCAACTTATGAGAGTGGAACATATTCAATAGAATATGTTCCACTCTCATAGAGTTCTGAGAGTGCACTTTATCTTTCTAAACGAAGTCACTCTTTCACTTTAGTGTCCCGTTTTTCAATTATATGTTCATGTTCTACTTTTAGATTATAATCTCTGAACAGTCTTACAAGGCTTTGGTGGCTTTAAGAAAGTAATCCATAATAGCGCATTTTTACTTTGAGGCTAGACCGGGTGATATGTCTCGATAGTTTTGTACTACGGCTGTACGGTAAAAGCTAGTTAACTCAACTTCGGTTAATTTAGAAAATTAGATAATTCAGACGTGTTGCCTGGCGTGTGCCAGGAAGTGTATTGCTCGATGGCATTAAACTATTTTTACTTTGGTAATGCTTGGCCGCTGCCCAGTTAATTGGGACTATATCTCTGGATCACGCCATGGGAGAAGCACCGCAAATGAGCAACGGGAAGGAACGAAAACCGAGTTCATGCACTACCGAACCAACTGCGGGCTATCATTGAGGCACGGTGGCATCCACATTGGCATTAAACCTAATCAAGTAAGAGTTCAGGGTTTTGGATTGAGCCACGGGGTTCTTGCCACGTTTACATTGTGAGCGAAGTTCCAAATGACTAAGATGACAGCTTTGGCATGGCTCTAAGCAAAGTAAGTGCTAGATTTACATATCTCTCAGCCTAATGAATGTGCATGAACGTAATATAAATTTCTTTCTTGTTTCTTATGCGTTCGATAATTTGGCAATCGGTTCATTCAGACAGTTTTTCTGGTACTGTGTAATTCGAACTCACGCGGGTTTATTGTACATACTCGGATGTTTGGTTTGGCATACGCGATGTGCATGCTGTGTTTCACTTAATACAGAATTTTTCTTTTTTGTGTGTGTGCCAAGCATTTGTGCTTTAGATCATGTGCCACCTTTCCGCCTGCAATTGCTAGGCATGTCGAGATATCATCAAATGAAGGTGTCAACATCGCATGCCTTTTCTCAGAGCTTCAAAATTATTTAATGCTAGGAAGAGTTAGCCCTTACAGCGTGCACAGACGCCACTGCATCAGCAACACTGACCGACGCGCCATCAGGTAAGAGTAATTGAAAGGTATTTCAGGTTTTCGGTGTGGCATAAAAAATTTTCCCAAATGGTTTATTGTAACATAATAATGTCTTGTTTTCAGTAGCAAACGCACGTCACCGATGACTCACATTCACCGTTTATTTCGTTGAAAGCTAGCGTCAGACTGAGAAGTAGAAGTGCTGTTGTGTTGCTCGCCGACGTGGCAACCTCCTGCAGTGATCGTAAGTAAATGATTCGTTTGATTATTAGGATTTGCGTATATCACAACTCAGTTGAGCTCACTTCTGTTTTAACTGTTTTGCTGTGGAGAGGCGGGGGTTTATATTCCCTCGGCTACTCCATTTACATAAGTTCTTCAGCGAAAAATAGATAAAAAAACCAAAAAGAAAAAATGGTTATCCAGAATAAAAACTGAACAACTAAAACACACAAAGCGCAAAGAAATAGGCTAAAATAGAATGGTAATGTACACACTCCAAACAATTTTACGCCCTAAAAGGTGTAAAACGGGTGTACGCATTAAAAGCACTCATATGAACACCCTTTTTACGCCCCATTTTTAAAATTTAAGGTGTTCGCAATTGAAACCCCTTCAAAACACCCCATTTACACGCTTATATTTGGGGTGTAATGAACAAGGCTACAAACAATTGATTCATATGTGGGGTTTAACGACCCAAAACCACCATACGATTATGAGAGATGCTATAGTGGAGGGCACCGGAAATTTCGACCACCTGGGGTTCTTTAACGTGCACCCAAATCTGAGCACACGTGCCTACAAGGCTACAGATGCACGACATTTTCGGGCCGTTTTGCTTATACTGTTAGTGTACGTTAACCATCTTGATACCAGCAAGGCTCCCACTACTAGCTGTTTGCGAGTCTAGTAATGAATCGAAGCAGAAAGTAATGTTACTAAAACGCAGTTTTCATCGATAAAGCGCGCAAACAACTATAAGATGGAAGATACAATAGGAGCGACGCTTGTTCAATCCAGTAAGGGCCGATTCTCCTGCAGCTGTTTCTTTCATCTGTGTCATTTGCGTGATTAGTCAACACTCACAAAGTACACTGATTTGCCTGAACAAGGTGATATTGCGCACATTGGTGTAGCTATGCATAGAACACTCCCCCCCCCTCCCCCCGTCCCCCATAAGATTGAAGCTTTTAAAGCTGGAGATAAAACGTCCACCACCTGCAAAAAAAACAGCACAGATGTTTAGCCATAACCACCACGTCAGCTGGCCATCAGATCCCTTAAAAACGAACATTGAGGTCACGTATTTTTAGCAGGCACGTTTTATTTAATTACTGTAGCGAATGTTCCTCTTCATGTGTCCTTAAGTGTGCGTCATGGAAATTAGGAAGAAGACACCGACCAAAAAAAAAAAAAAGCAGAATAAGGACACTTCGGTGACCTTGACGCAGCCTTGCTCACAATGACGGGAGTCTTGTGGACTAGATTGCGAACAAAGCTCTCCTCAGGGGAGCCTAAACGCATTCTCTAGTTCTCTCTCTCGCTCCGTTTTTTGTGGATCCCCTTGTTTTAATTTATGTAACTTCCCCAGCAGATGTGCTTCGGTCAAAGCCTTGACTTTGTAGGTAGTGAGAAAACAGCATTGATGAAATATTCTCAGCCGTGGTCTTGTTCCAAGGACTGCAAGCTAAGTACAAATGTGTTGCCGCAAAGTAAAAACAGAAGTAGTAATTAACAGGTTGAGAAAGTAGCAGCAGATCAGTATTTTTATTTACTGCGTACCAGAGCGTTCCTCTTCTTTCTTGTTATTGCTTCCTGCATAACAGCGTGCAGATGTGCGTATGCGCTGTCCTCTTCGTCTTCCTAGCAGCACGCACGTGGCAATATGTTCTCATCGAATAATGTGACGGCAGATGCATGCAATGTTCCAATGTCTTTACCAAAATGAAAGTGCTGATAAAATATCGCCTGCGTGACCTTGAATGTGCAGTCCCTAAAGACCCATAGAGCTAAGCAAAAAGCATCAGCTTAGCTTTTTTACTCAAAATTCACTACATTAGGTCGGTGAAGGTGTGCTAAACATTGCTCCCGAATATTATAAATGCACGTTCTGACTAGTAACAGCTCGTGCTGGCCGCACTGCACCGTCACGAAGTTCACTGCGATTCAGATGCACTGTTAAAGAACGAGTATAACGCAACAGATCGCTGCCGCAAAAAAAAAAAAAAAAACAGCACCCGCGCTATCAGCAGAGGGCCGGAGGTAGCGTTAAACCCTATGTAGCCGGTCTGAAAGCGCGCCGATGCCATGAAGTCTCGTCGCCTAGACAACCTTGGTTGCCCGGTATTGCTGAGTGCCGGGCGCACAGCGTGGGAAAGGGGTCAAGAGCTTCTTACATGTCACTGCGTGCGCTGGCGAAAAACCCTCCCGTGTGTGTGCGTGTGGTGCGCGTGGCTTCTCGATCGGTAGAGTTTATTAGTCGGTGTTTTGTTTGAAATGTGCCTGCGCTCTGTGCTCCACCAGTGTGTTCTGTCAGTGCTGATTATTGCGAAGGTGCACCATCCTGAAGACTGGACCTGTGGATTCATATTGTGGAGCAATCGAAGTGAAATAGTGAGTACCGCTCTCACGTTGTTCCGTTCAGCGCTCTGTTAACCGCGTGAGCACAAGAATAACGCCTTCAAACAAATTTGTTTTCAACTAGTTGATGACAAATCAGCATTTGTTTACTTACCGAGAATATTTGTCCGAACTGTTTCACGAGGATGATGGCGAAGTGTGATTGTGGGTAAGTTTTTTGTTTGTTTGTTTAGATTGTTTGGAGTACAAAGCAGAGTGAGCGTGCGCCGCTGAGGTTCAGCGAAGAAATTGAACAGATTTTTGCGGTGCCCTTTGTTGGCAGCCGTTTTTAACAAGGCCCGCTCGTGCTGCACATCAATTTTAGTTTACTAATTATTATATGTGTGGGGACGGTGCCTGTTAGCTCTAAGCATCAACCATATGTAAGACGCATATGCTTGGGCATGTCGGTAGTTCATTTACTTTTTTTTTCTTATTGCACAAAAAGACCAAGAACGGAAAACAAGGGCGTGGTGTCCATGTCGTTATTTTCGGTTCTTTTTCGTTTTGTGCGGTAACACTGCCGTGATAACTCGGGTTGATGCATCGGGTGACAACACAGCATATTGTTTCGCGTTAGGTGTGCCTCGCGAAGTTTGCCTACTTGCTAATACATTCAATTTCGTTATTCGTCTTCACCGGTATTTTTGTTCACCCGCAACGTAGCGTGACACTGCCGACAGCCGTGCCTATGTAGCGGATCGAGCACTGAAGCTAGACTTTTGTTTGAACAGACCTTTAGTCTGTGTGTGTGGTCGAATTGCCTACTTGAACAGCGCAAACACTTGTTTGAACATAACTGCTAACGTTAGAGCACATTTTACTCAGATTGTTTCCATAATGTGTAACTTTCAAAATATTCTGGTTATTCAGAGTTTTATTGCCATCACCTCGCTTTGGCGTTTAACTTCGCTAAGTACTTCAGATGTTAAAGGTATTTTCGCTATGTGAAGCGTATTATTAGTTTTTTTGTTGCACAAAAACACTTTGATGTTATACATACTGCACGGTATCTAAGCATGTGTTGCAGCTAAAATGTAAGACTGGGCAGCATATCTGCCTGGGAACACAACACGCACAGCCACTGAACAGCCTACACTGCACCGGGAAGGATTTATGCTTTCTCACCCTGACAGCATGATTGAAACAAATGGCCCTAATTTAGCAGTATGCAAGTGTCATTGAGTGAAGGTAACAGGGTCACTTTATTCGACATTTCCAGCCACTTTTGCGACTATGGCAAATGTGTTTGAAAAAAAATCGCACTGATTTATTGCACTGAAAACAGTGAAGTGCTTGAATATTTCGGAGAGAAAAACGTTTTTGGTCACGTCGTTGCCTTTCAAACTTTCCAGACTGTTGTTTGAGTGTTGTTTGTGAAAAAAAAATTATTTCACAAGTACCGCACCTTTCTTTATACCAATTTTAGTACATGTTAAGTAAAAGGGCTTATGTAAGGTGTTTAAAACTCGGCAATAGTATTAGAAATTTTCGACCACATACGTCTGCAAGAATTGAGCCAAAGTGTGTTATGTTTGCATTTGCTCAATGCTATACTGCACTTTGTATGAATATCTGAGCTGTGAAAGAAAAAAATATTTTGATGAAAAATTGCTTTTAGACATCTTAAGCTGTTAACCTCTACGAGAAAAGATTACTTATTTCACAGAATTGTCATTTTTGTCCGTATTGAGACGCAATTTGCACCGTGTGGTGGTCCAATTAAAAATTACCTGTTACCTAAATTGAAATCAAATAAACATTTCTTTGTATGTGACAAAACTCATCATTACAATTTCTATTTCAAGGAATAAAATATTTTTTTAATTTTCCCATTAACGGCAATGGGGAACTACGAGGCGTCGGCTGCTGTATGACCAAATGGCGAATGGGGAACTTGGAACTTCCAAAATCATTTAGGGGCAAAAATCTTGAGGCCGTGGGTCATTCCCTCCTCTGTAGTCGTACTAGTATTATGTAGCCACTTGATGAGTTGCACAATAGATAGCGTTAGTGGTTTTCACAGCATATACATGGACAAAATGATGATTCGTGGGGCGGATCGTTCGTCCGTACATTTGTGCTATCGTCCGTTCGTCTGTGCATCCATCCGTCCGGGCTTCCGTGTGTCGGTCTGTCCGTGAGTCCGTCCGTCTTTCTGCTCGTTCATACTAGCGTCAGACTATCTGTCCATCCGTTTGTGCGTCCGGACGGACGAACACTACGCCCCATTCATCATTATTCACTGATTTCTCAAAACATAAATTACTATGACAAAATTTGGCACATGAATATAACTGCTTATTTGCTTCGATTTAGGTACAAAGTCTATTTCAATTCAACCACCACTTGGTGCAAGTTGCGTCTCATTATAGACAAAACAATTATTTTTTGAAATTCGCGATTTTTTCCCGTTAAGTTTGACAGCTTGAGAGGTCTAAAATATTTTTTCCTCCAAATATACCTTATGTGGATTAGCATTCAATCCTCAGATATTCATTCAAAGTGCAGTATTGATATAGAAAAAATGCAGATATAACACACTTTGGCTAAATTATTTGAGGCGTATGTGGTGGAAAAGTGGTAATAATAATACTGAGCTTCAAACACTTTACGCAAGCCCTTCACTTAACTTGTAAACCAAATTTGGAATGGAAGAAGAGATACTTATGAAATAATTTTTTTCACAAACATACAGACGAGATTCCTGGAAGTTCAGGAGGCAGCCACGTGATCAATAAATTATTTGTCTGCGAAATATTCTAGCAGTTACCTTTTCTAATGCAGTAAAATCAGTGGTATTTTTTTTCGAATACATTTGCGGTGGTCACCGAAATGGCTGGGTTGTCTGATGTGGAATGACGCAATAACCAACTCTTCCATTATATAATCGTGTCAATGTGAGTCAGTTCAAGAACACTAGTATCATTCGCATTTTAATGCGTAACTGTACAGTAACTAATTTTACAAGTTACCTGCACTAAATACCTTCTCAGTGCGCATACCGTCATGTATGCTCAGTGGCATTGTGCTGTTGTGCAATTCAGATAAAATATGTATATTTTGTTGCGTGTCGTACTGTATTCCTTTTAATAAACTAATCGAATGAGCACCATGGTAGATCTGCAGAACTACACATGCAGCTGTGTTTATGCATACTTAAGCATAGAACTTGACATTCACTTAGATTGGTCGTTGCATGCAGCTAATGGAACATTATCAACTTGGAGCAGCACCTTTTTATTTGCCTGCACGAGAAAGCTGAAAGGGTAAAGTAAGGTTCATATCTACGGCATGAAAAGTATAATAATTCTGGCACGGCACACTTTTTATGGCGTTTATTGCTCAGCATACCGTTTCTAGCATTTCTCGCTGCAGTGTAGTCCGATTCCACTGAATATGCTTGCTATGCACTCAATTTATACTTACACATAAGAAAGCAGTTAGTTATGCATGGTGCACACTGTATGTTGCACTCTTTGTGAAAATTCAGTCATTGTTCCTTGTGTATTTATTTTAGGTTTCCGGGATTGAATTTCCTGTACAGAAAGTACAGCTTCGCCCCACTTCTCTCGAAGGCACCAGTCATCTCAGTAGCTGAAGATGATTGTGAAAGCAGCAGTGACGGGTGGTTTTGCAGTTAGAAGTATACCAACACTGACATTACATTGATACAACCCCAATTACGCTACCTTGTTGAATGTTCTCTTTTTTTATAAACGAAATTTACACTGTGAGATGTAATACGTTGTAAATGTGACTCCAGACTCTCGCTTACTCTTTCTACGTGTTTTTTTTCTATTGTATAGGTGTCAATCAAACGCCATACGTCTCAGTCGTTTGCCCGACTAGCGCAAATGTTTTGAAAGTTGTGGAGATCTATTGTATTCAAAGCAATGAAATTTTAGTATAGAGAGAAAGAAACTTGGTGCCGTGACATATTTCGAAATTTTGCAGAATGCCATCAGAGTCCTGTTTGTCAGATTTGCAGTTTTTCTATAATAAAGGCAGATGCTTTTGCTTTGGCGTTATGTTCGGTTGGACCTTACGCTACAGGTTACTGCTTGCACTACTGTGGTGTGGTGTGGTGTGGTGTGGTGTGGTGTGGTGTGGTGTGGTGTGGTGTGGTGTGGTGTGTGTGTGTGTGTGTGTGTGTGTGTGTGTGTGTGTGTGTGTGTGTGCCTTCCGCGTCTTTGTCGTTTACGACCCAGTCTACGTACACATATATACACTGGTCTTGTGCAGCTTTTTCAAGACCATGTCACCTTATTTTATCAGCTGCATGCATGCAGGTATAAGTGCAGAGGGTGACGCCAGTATCTTCATTCTTCCCCGTCAGCCGCAGGGAAGGTTCATATATGCTTCTCCCTGAGAACAATTGAGGCTTGGGCCAGTTGGTGATGCATATTTGATGGAATGAAGTGCTGTGAATGGCTCTCCTCAACACACAAGTCTAAGAGTAACCTCTGGTGTCTCTGCTTTTGTTGCCCGTTAATTGCGCTTCAATTGATCAAGTATGCTCATCCATATAACTGCCATCGTTTCAAGGGAGTTTTCAGTGTACACCCCACTCGCATGGGTGTAGCTTCATCCAACACCCATAATTTAGGGGTGTTCATAAACTCCAATTAGGTAGGGTGTAACGTTTCTTTAGACCCTACGGTTTCAGGGTGTTTCTAAACACCTTATTGTTTAGGGTGTTCCTAGACACCCTAAAAGCGGGTTGCCCATGGGACAAAACAAATACACCCTTATGGTTGTAAAAAATTTTAGAGTGCAGTTTGCATGCAATGATTCACATTGCTATAATTGTCTATATGTAGTACACACTGATGTCCACAGCCATATGTGATGCCCATTGATATATCCACACTTGGCTACATAACGCAAGCGCTCATATGCTCCGTTTCTCACTAAGCCGTCTTTCAGAATGATGTTCACCTTTTTCTAAATATGCATTTCAGGCTACGGTCCAAGCGATTTCTGTAATGTGA